TATCAATATAAAATGGTACTCGTCCTCGATATCAACAATGTTACAACAAAGACAATATCTTTCATTGCGTGGTAATCTATTTTAACCGTACCTTGTAGTTTGTATTCCAAGTGCATGCGCTGAAATCCGCATTCTTGTAATGAGTAAAAAATCTGAATAATTGTCATATGCGCAGTTATACACAATTTATATGAGCCGCGTCACGACAAAACCAACATAATGGGTTTGCGACCAGCATGGATCCAGACCAGCCTGCGCAACCTGACCAACCCTATTACAAATAGAGAAACTGATAGCGAACAGCATGGGTCCTGATCAGACTGCGCGGATGCGCAGGCTGGTCTGGATCCATGCTGGTCGCAAACCCATTATGTTGGTTTTGTCGTGACGCGGCTCAAATCTGTTTTAAATCGCTGTATTCCACTCTTGACCATAATTATCAAGCAATCTTTGTTTATAGAAAATTTTTACAATCAACTTTGTTTGTATCAAAGGAATAGTCTAAAACCCATATATATCATGCAGTCTCCCAATTTTTACAACCTTTATGATAATCAAATTCATAAACTTTATGCAAATAATGTATTTGTCTTTATTCAGCAATTTACACCAGCATTTTATAATTCTAACATGTCTTGGAATAAAAAAATGATATCTAACTCCCTATATACGCTTGCATTACATGTATTGAATTTAACATTAAACATTCTTTTACAAAATGTCACGAGGATTCGATCGTTCGTTTAATGTCTTTAGATTTGTTATATCCTCAAACGGACGAGTATGACGAAATTGAGCCAACACACATGACAAATGCATCAAAAACTGACATAATAATTTTGGTTTAAAATCAAAGTCTATACAATTATATAGTACCATATCTAAAGTTTTTCAAGATTTACCAATGCAATGTTCCTTATGAAATCATGTTGTTGTTTTTTATCTTTACAAGACGGTCTTAGAAATTATTTTGTTTATGAGATTTCTTTGTTCAGAGGAAGCAAAATGCTCACATATTTCCGGCCTTATATAATTAATTTAAGTAATAATGCATATCTTATAATATGAGGGACACAGTCTAGAAAAAGTTTGTAGAAAGACGGGGTGTGGTTTGTACACTGTTGTCTGGACGTACAGCAGACGGATATCGTAATACCGTTCATTTCAACAAAATCTAATTACATGTGCTGTTTGTTAAGTAAATGACATTGCATATGCTGTCGTGCTTAAGAGTTTTAGTTATGCCCCCTTGACTTAATCAAATTAGCACTCGTTACTCTGTCCCTTTAAAGATAAAAATGTAGGAAGTTACCATTTCTTACACAAATTTTTATTGAGATTACATTCTTTCCACCTTCTTATTTGTTTCTATATTGTATCGACCTCTCCGAATTTATTGACCATGATTTGTGGTCTTCTGCAATAAGTAACACACTTTTGTTTGAATGGATTTAATGTATAATGAAGCCTTTTGGAGTATTTGCATTTTGGTTAGTTTAAGAGCGTATGATAATTTACGGATCTGAATTGTATTTCTGTATTAATAGGTCATAGAAAAAAATTCGTTGAGTAAACAAAGAAATATGCTACAAGAGTAACTTTGTTCTAAAGATATTGATATTTTGTGATAACAAATGTGATCCTTGCCATAATGGATTCTTAAATAATCACTGTAGAATAATACTTCCGACGAGAACAACAACAAAAAAAAGTTCATCTATAATTGATCATATATATGCAAGTGATACTGAGAACGTGAAGGACACTTTCGTCTCATCTCTATCTATGAGTGATCATTTTCCTGTTTGCATGGTTTATTCAACTAAAACTAACAAAAATAAAAAATATGGGTTGCATAAGGTGATAAAATTTAGAATGACTGAAACTTTTTGTGAAGAAAATTTTCAACGTGATCTTTTTAACATCTGGTATAGATACTACTGAAACAATTACAAATCCAAATAACTCTTTAAATTTCTTTTACTTTGTTTTAAATGAAGTATTAGCAAAACATGCGCCAATTAAAAAATTTTAAAAAAGAAGATAAATTTGCGCAATAAGTGTCATAATAAAGGAGATTTCGATCAGTACAAAAATATAAGAAGTTACTTTGTTAATTTGAAAGGCTAAGAAATATTTCTTTAATAATGTCATTGAAGAGAATAAGGACTCAAAGTATGTATGAAAAACTTGAAAGAAGCTTCTAACATCTAACATCAATCAAACTAAACGGATAACACTTCCGTCTAAAATAGAAAAAAAAAATGATGGAGTAATTGAGAATGAATTAGAAATTACCAATGAACTAAATAAACATTTTATCAATATTTCAAATATCATTACCAAACAATCTGGCACCGTTATATACGAGTGAGATGTTTAGTTTCTCTCACAATAAATTACATAATTTACGCTCAATCGCTCATAAAGATCTTGTTCTGAAAAGTATACCTCATACAAATTATTAAAAGGATTCTTTTTCTTGTATCATAGTTTGGAGACCTTTCTGTTGAAAATGTGTCAGGATTAAATCGTATACATATACATGCACAGTGCGTTAACTGGAGTGCGGGTATTAGTTACCCGCACTCCAGAGCATGCCCATTGATTGGCTCATTTTTGCTGGGGTTTACATATTGTGACGGCAGAGAAAGGGAAAGCGACAGAAATGTCAAATTCAGATGTTCGTTCATTGGTTCATTTTTGCCGGGGTTTCATATTGTGACAACAGGGAACGTTCTTTTTTGTTTGACTATGATACAAAAGAGAAAGAACACCAAAACACTCGGCAATCTGATTAATACTCGGGGGCTACGCCCCCTCGTACAAATCAGATAGCCTCGTGTTTCGGTGCTCTTTCTATTACTTATTTCAGTATTGACGTTTGGAATAAATTACCTATTACTATCAAACAATGTTCGACTTTACAATCTTTCAAAAACAAATGTAAAATTTATTTTCTAAGTTTACAGTTAGATACATGATGAAAGTTGATCATTTTATATTTTAATTGTTGTAAATGTTGATATCATCACTTTTTTTAAAAAATCATTACGAGTTTATCTATAATAACTATAATTAATATGAGTGTCGGTCGGATGAATGAATAAAAAATATCTAACCTTTACATTCAAGAATATAAATAATATGAATATATATATCTTTTTTATATACCAAAAGATTTTAAATATTTGTATAGATCTACATTTTTTTCTTTGTTTAATCAGAAGGCCATACTGAAAATAAGTATACTTCTTACTGTGAACTTTGTATGTTACCTTCTATAAATACAGATTTTATTATTATTATTATTATTATTATTATTATTATTATTATTATTATTATTAACGTTCTGACTTATAAGATGTTATATCTAAATATGAATTTAATCCATTTATAAATAACAAAGTTATAGCCAGTTACAGAAGAAACAAGAGATTTCATTAATTTGACCTTGACAATCACGGTCAATAAAAGGTTAAGGTCACAATTGAATTATTCAATATGTTAGTTTGGTAGTAAGTCATGTTTTGTTCAAGATCAAATCAAATCCGTACATAATTCACAAAATTATGACAATTTAACAGAAATTAAATAAATTGACCTTGACGGTCAAGGTTATTTAAAGGTCAAGGTCAGTTTAACCTTTAAGAAGGTCTTAAAACTATGAAGATAATCCATTTATTTATTACCAAATTAGTCAATTATATAGAGGATATTTGTTTAGTTCAGTGTAAGATCGGAATATATTTCACCGAGTGAGCACCAAAAGGTATATTTCACGAGTGGCGCAGCCACGAGTGAAATATGAACTTTTGGTGTTCACAAGGTGAAATATATTTCGATCTTACACTAAACTAAACAAATTTTCTTTTTATTATATGCAAAGAAACGTTTTAAAAAGACATTAAACATAATACTGAATGAAAAGCGCGCCAAATAATAATACAACGTGACGTCATTTACGACGTCACGTCATTAAGTTGGTTCCTAGTACTGTGCACGCTGGTATTTCACTGAAACAACGTAAGGGGCTAAAATTCAAAACAGTGAAATTATCAAAGTGGTAATTTCACTGTTTCAAACAGTGAAATTACCAGTTTTATATCACTGATATATTTCTATAAACCACCGAAAAGCATGTAATAAAGAAAATTCAATAATTTAACCTTCGAGGTCAAAGTCATAAATGAACCAATGTCAATTAATGTTGAATGTACAAATGTACATAAAGGCCTTATCCTTAAAAATCTTCTGTTATAATATTAAATCAATCCATTCAATAATAACAAAGTTATAGCCAGTGACAGCAAAGAAAATCAATTATTTGACCTTTAAGGTCCAGGCCATTTATGAGTGAAGGTCAAGATCTTCTAGTTTACTTCAAAGTATATCCTAAAAAATATGTACAAGTTTGAAGACAATCCATCAAAAAATAACAATATTATAGCCACTAATAACAAAAATCAGCAAAAAACAAGCAAATTTAGAAATTTGACCTTGAAGTTCAAGGTCATTTATGAATGAAGGTAAAGGTTAGCCTGGTCTACTTAAAGGGTTGTTAGGCCAAGTATGAAGATCATACACCAAGTTATGATCAAGGTACAAGCTTGCGGACGGCAGGTGACTATAACAGTATAACAATACCTCTGTTTAAAGAAAAGTCACACTAAAAATAGCTATTTGTGTACTTGCAACGACAGCGGCTTATGTCGCCAATATACCGAAATGCGAACACACTGCCCACCATGCTCATTTGTAACGGACTTGTCAAGATTTGAATTTGGATTAGTGCATTCAAAGTTTTAGGACCTGCGATGTCAAAATACAAACATAATTTAACTTCAAACAGTATAGAGCCTGAACAAACTGTATGAATGTTTAAAGTGGCGGCAGTATGGGTGGGGTAAGCCTTGTGCCAGAAATTTATGGCGTAAAGGAACTGTTGCAATAAAAAAAACTTTCGCAGAGTTTAAAAAATATTTACTTCTATTTTCAAGGGAAAGGCCCAAGACCATGGAGCAGTTCATCTGAATCTAGTTCAAGTTCTGCCCAAAGTGCCTGTGGTGAATCTTCTTGCAGCTCTTCATCTACCGATATCAAATTATCTAAGGTAAGTGCTGAAACAGTAAATATCGAAAAAGCAAACAGCCAAATCACAAACAGCCAAACTTCAATAAGTCAGACCGCAGATTGCCAAACTATAAATAGCCAAACCGCAACCAGCCAAACCACATATAGCCGAAGTGAAGACAGTCAAAACACAAACAGCCAAACTTCAATAAGTGCAGATTGCCAAACTGTATACAGCCAAACCGCAAACATCCAAACCTCATATAGCAAAATTGAAGACAACCAAAACACATACAGCCCAACTGCAAAAAGTGAAACCGAAAATAGCCAACCCGAAAGCAGCCAAAGCACAAACAGCAAAACGACAAATAGCCAGACCACAAAAAGTCACTTCGAAGATAGCCAAAACACATATAGCCAAAACGAAAACACCAACATCGCCAACAGCCAAATCACAAGTAGCCAAACTGCAAATATCGAAACAACAAAGATCCAGACTGCAAATAGCCAAGATGAATACAGCCAAACCGCAAGTAGCCAAAACGCAAATACAAAAACGTCAAATATCCACAATGCAAATAGCCAAACCCAAAACAGTGAAACTGCAAACATCCAAACCACAAATAGTCAAATAGAAGTAAATGTTGGAGCTGATTACAATGGTGACAGAGGTCAAACAGGTAATTTTTATACAGCAAAGCTCAGTGCGACAGAAAGCAGTCATTGGAACAAGATAAATGAAGGCGAAAATAACGACGACAATACCGCTGGACCATCTGCAAATTTAATGGTAAGCCTAACCAGGGAGAGTAAATTTGCCTGCAGTAGTTTTAAAAAGGCTGTCACGAAGAAATTAGCTGTTAAATGGAATAAACCACCACCAGATACAGCAGAAAAAGAAAGGCAAGCATCACTGAAAGAGATGAAACAAGTTTTATATGATCTTCTCCATGAGGTCCATGAGTCGTCTCCGATAGGACAATCACCTGTTGAGGAATGGTGGCAAGAGTTACGAATTGAAGAAGTAGAATTATGCCGGATTGAATATGAGCAAAGTGACATTTCACTTGAAAATAAATGCAATGATGCGCCAGCCACTTGTAGGAAGAAGGATACGATTTCAGCACACACCAATGATACCTGTCTGCAAAATGACGACCCCGTTGGAAATGGCAATGACACAACGATAACCGCACATACCAATTCTGCATGCCTTCAAGATGACAGCCCCGTTGTAAACGGCAATAACCCAATGAAAACAGCAAGAACCAATGATGCCGACCTTGAAAATAATGCTTCCATTGTGAAAGAAAACAACGCAACGATAACCACACATACCAATGATGCCAGCCTGAAAAAAATCTACCCAATCGTAAATGAAGACAAAACCCTGATAACCGCACGTACCAATGATGCCTGTCTGCAAGATGACGACTCTAATGTGAATAAGGACAAAACAAAGATAACCACACATACCCAAAGATTTCCCTTTCCTTGCAAAATTTTGACCCCAATGTGAAAGCTGAGAACGCAACCCATTAAAAAGTACATACCCCCTTATTTCCTGGGCCCGGAAAATGATCCCCCCCAATTGGCCCAAAGGGAAAAAATTTCTTTAATAATTGCACCCTACTAATTATGCCTCCCTTTAAAAATGACATTCCCCAAAGGAATAATGACAACGCAATAATTAAAACCCAATTTCTATTGATGCCTGCCTGGAAATGATCCTCCATGTGAATTGAAAAACCCCCCAAACCAAAAAAGCAAAAAACCCGGGGTAAAAAAACCCGCCCCAAAACTTATTTATGCCTACCTGCAAAAAGATTACCCCAAATTTTGAATAATTTTTCAACAAAAACAAAAAACCCCAAAAAACTAAAAAACGCCTGCCTCAAAAAATGGGCAAACACCATTTTAACAGGGGAAAAAACGCCCTGATAACCCCCAAACCCAAAGGATGGCCTTTCCCCCTTGGAATGAGGCAAAGAAAACAAAACGCGCTTTACTTATGATGCCTGCCTGGGGGATGGACCCCACCCCAATGTAAATGGGGGCCAACCCCAACGATTACCAACCCAAAACCCAAAATGCCTGCCCGGAAAATGACTACCGGGATGTGAATGAGGGCAAAAGCATTTTTGGGTAACAGCAAAATGCTTATGATCCTGTCTGAAAAAAAGCCCCCCATTGTGAATGAGGACAAAGAAACAATAAACCCCAAATACCAATGGGGCCTACATGGGAAAATGAAATTTTTCCCCTAGTGAATTTAAAACAAGCAACGATAACCGCCCCCAAAACATGACCTTCCTGAAAAAGACTACCCCAAATTTTAAATGAGGACAAAACAAAGTACTTTTACCGCAAAAATACCCTTTTTTTTGAGGACCCAAAGCATTTTTATTACGGGACATGCTTATAGCCTTCCTGGAAAATACTACCCCATTGTGAATAAGGTCAAAAACATTCTTGATAACGCAATGCTAATGACTGCCTTTTTGGAAAAACGGGCACCCCATTTTTGAATGAGGGCAAACCCAAAGTAATCGCACATTTCTTAAAAATCCTGCCGGGAAAATTTACAAACCCCCTTGTTTAATGAGGACCCAAAGCATTTTTATTTCGGGACATTTTCTTATTTATTTCCTGCCCGAAAAGACTTTCCCCCGGGGAATAAAACCCAACCAAAATTTTTAAAACGCACATCTTAAAGATGCCTGCCTTTAAAAAAAGACTACCCCCCTTTTGGGGAAAGAAAGGCAACCCCGATTAAAAGGGGCGCATTAAAATTTACCCGCCCGAAAATAAAACCCCCCCCGTAAAAGAGGCCCAAAGCCAAAGAAACCCCCCCGGGACTTAAAAGAGGGCCCCCCAAAAATAAAACCCCAATTTTAAAATGACCCAAAGCAAGATAAACCGCACTACCAAGGGGCCCTGCCCGGAAATGACTACCCCTTTAATAAAACTAAAAAAACCCAACGGGATTCCAATTTTAATTATACCTGCCTGGGAAATGACTACCCAATTTTGAATAAGGGCAAACCCCAAAAGATAACCCCCTACCAATGTCCTGCCCGGAAAAATGAAACTTCCCTATTGTGAATGAAAACAACGCAAAGATAACCGTGCGAACTTATGATGCCTGCATGCAAAATGACGATCCCGTTGTGAATGAGGACAACGCAACGATAACCGCACATACTAATGATGCGTGCCTGGAAAATGACTACCCTATTGTAAATGAAAACAACGCAACGATAACCGCGCGTACTTATAATACCAGCATGCAAAATGACTACCCCATTGCGAATGAAAACAACGCAACGATAACCACAGGTACCAATGATGCCTGCCTGGAAGATGACTACCCCATTGTGAATGAAAACAACGCAACGATAACCGCGCGAACTTATGATACCTGCATGCAAAATGACGATCCCATTGTGAATGAGGACAACGCAACGATAACCGCACATACTAATGATACCTGCATGCAAAATGACAAACCCATTGTGAATGAAAACAACGCAACGATAACCGCGCGTACTTATGATACCTGCATGCAAAATGACGATCCCATTGTGAATGAGGACAACGCAACGATAACCGCACATACTAATGATACCTGCATGCAAAATGACAACCCCATTGTGAATGAAAACAACGCAAAGATAACCGTGCGTACTTATGATACCTGCATGCAAAATGACGATCCCATTGTGAATAATGACAATGCAACAATAACCGCACATACTAATGATGCCTGTCTGGAAAATGACTACCCCATTGCGAATGAGGACAACGCAACGGTATTCGCACATGTTTATTATACCTGCCTGGAATATGACTACCCAATTGTGAATAAGGACAACCCAATGATAACCGCACGTACCAATGGTGCCTGCCTGGAAGATGACTACCCCATTGTAAATGAAAACAACGCAACGATAACCGCGCGAACTTATGATACCTGCATGCAAAATGACGATCCCATTGTGAATGAGGACAACGCAACGATAACCGCACAAACTTATGATACCTGCATGCAAAATGACAAACCCATTGTAAATGAAAACAACGCAACGATAACCGCGCGTACTTATGATACCTGCATGCAAAATGACGATCCCATTGTGAATGAGGACAACGCAACGATAACCGCACATACTAATGATACCTGCATGCAAAATGACAAACCCATTGTAAATGAACACAACGCAACGATAACCGCGCGTACTTATGATGCCTGCATGCAAAATGACGATCCCATTGTGAATGAGGACAACGCAACGATAACCGCACATACTAATGATGCCTGCCTGGAAAAAGACTACCCTATTGTAAATGAAAACAACGCAACGATAACCGTGCGTGCTTATAATACCAGCATGCAAAATGACTACCCCATTGCGAATGAAAACAACGCAACGATAACCACAGGTTCCAATGATGCCTGCCTGGAAGATGACTATCCCATTGTGAATGAAAACAACGCAACGATAACCGCGCGAACTTATGATGACTGCATGCCGAATGACGATCCCATTGTGAATGAACACCGACGCAACGAGTAACCGCACATACTAATGATGATGCCTGGAAACATGACAATAAACCCCATTTAATGAAAACAAACGCAACGATATAATCACAGATACCCAATGAGCATCCGGAAAGTATAATACCCCTTTGGAATGAAAACAACGCCAGCATAAACCGGTGCTACTACTAATATATGCATTGCAAAATGCCATTCCCATTGGTGAATAAGGACAAGCAAACAATAACCGCACATTACTAATGAATGCCGTCTGGAAATAACTACCCTTGCGAATGAGGACAAGCAACGGTTTCGCAACATGTTTATTTAAACCCTGGCCTGGATTTATGACTAACCCCAATTTTGAATAAGGACAAACCCATGATAACCGCACGTTACCCAATGATACTCTGCAAAAATGACAAAACCCTTGTAAGGAAAACAAAGCAATAAAAACCCCCGCGAACTTATGATACCCGCAGCCAAAAAAGGGCGATCCATTTGAATGAGGAACAACAACATAACCCACATACTAATGATACCTGCATGCAAAATGACAAACCCATTGTAAATGAAAACAACGCAATGATAACCGCGCGAACTTATGATACCTGCATGCAAAATGACGATCCCATTCTGCGTGAGGACAATGCAACGATAACCATGCATACTTATGATACCTGCATGCAAAATGATGATCCCATTGTTAATGAGGACAACGCAACGATAACCACAGATACCAATGATGCCTGCCTGGAAGATGACTACCCCATTGTGAATGAAAACAACACAAAGATGACCGTGCGTACTAATTATACCTGCATGCAAAATGACGATCCCATTTTGAATAATGACAATGCAACAATAACCGTACATACTTATGATACCTGCCTGGAATATGACTATCCAATTGTGAATAAGGACAACCCAATGATAACCGCACATACCAATGGTGCCTGCCTGGAAGATGACTACCCCATTGTAAATGAAAACAACGCAATGATAACCGCGCGAACTTATGATACCTGCATGCAAAATGACGATCCCATTGTTAATGAGGACAACGCAACGATAACCGCGCAAACTTATGATTCCTGCATGCAAAATGACAAACACATTGTGAATGAAAAAAATGCAAAGATAACCGCGCGAACTTATGATACCTGCATGCAAAATGACGATCACATTGTGAATGGGGACAACGCAACGATAACCGCACATACTAATGATGCCTGCATGCAAAATGACAAACCCATTGTGAATGCAAACAACACAACGATAACCGCGCGTACAAGCATGCAAAATGACTACCCCATTGCGAATGAAAACAACGCAAAGATAACCACAGGTACCAATGACGCCTGCCTTGAAAATGACTATCCCATTGTGAATGAAAACAACGCAACGATAACTGCGCAAACTTATGATGCCTGCCTGGAAGATGACTACCCCATTATGAATGAAAACAACACAACGGTAACCGCGCAAACTTATGATGCCTGCCTGCAAAATGACGATCCCATTGTAAATAAGGACAACGCAATTATTACCTGCCTGGAGGATGACTTCCCCACTGTGAATGAAAACAGCACACTGAGAATCGCACGTACCAGTGATGCCTGCCTGCAAAACGACGACCCCGTTATGAATGGCAGTAACGCAACGATAACTGCGCGTACTTATGGTGCCTGTCTGCAAAATAATAACCAAAAAATTGTTGGCAATAACTCAATGAAACTTGCACATTCCAAAATTGCCTGTCTGCATAATAATAAGCTTGTTGTAAGTGGTAATAACGCAACAAAAACCGAAAGCATCAACGATGCGAGCCTGCATAATGATCACCCTTTAGTTCCTGGTAATACAACAACAAATACCGCACACTTACAACATGATGACCCTATTGAGTATGTGAGTAAAAATACAACGAATGCCGCACGCAAGATTGGTGACTGTCTGCGAAATGATGAATCTATTATAAGTGATAAAAAAGCGGCGAAAATCGCAAGCACCCAGGATAGCTGCCTGCAAAATGATGACCCAATTGTTGTAGGCAATAACACAAGAAACACCGCACGTACAAAGGATGGATGCCTGCAAAATGATGACCCCATTGTTGTTGGCAATGATGCAACAAACACCGCACGCATTAAGGATGGATACCTTCAAAATGATGACCCCATTGTTGTTGGCAATTGCGCCACATTAACCGCACGCATCAAGGTTAGATGTCTGCAAAATGATGACTCAATTGTTGTTGGTAATAACGCAAAAAAACCCGCACACACTAAGTATTGCTGTCTGCAAAATGATGACCCTATTGTTGTTGGCAATTACGCAGCAACCACCGCACGTACCAAAGATAAATGCCTGCAAAATGATGACCCCATTGTTGTTGGCAATTACGCAGCAACCACCGCACGTACCAAAGATAAATGCCTGCAAAATGATGACCCCATTGTTGTTGGCAATTACGCAGCAACCACCGCACGCACCAAGGATAGATGCCTGCAAAATGATGACCCCATTGTTGTTGGCAATTACGCAGCAACCACCGCACGTACCAAAGATAAATGCCTGCAAAATGATGACCCCATTGTTGTTGGCAATTACGCAGCAACCACCGCACGTACCAAAGATAAATGCCTGCAAAATGATGACCCTATTGTTGTTGGCAATTACGCAGCAACCACCGCATGTACCAAAGATAAATGCCTGCAAAATGATGACCCCATTGTTGTTGGCAATACCGCAAAATTAACCGCACGCACCAAGGATGGTTGCTTGCAAAATGATAACCCTTTTGTTGCTGGCAATAACACAACAACAACCGCACGCACCAAGGATGGCTGCTTTCAAAATGATGACCCTATTGTTGTTCGCAATGACGCAACAACAAAAGCAAGCACAAAAGATGGACGCCTGCAAAATGATGACCCCATTGTTGGCAATAACGTAACGACTATTGCATGTGGCAAAGATGCCTACCTGAAAATCAATGCCTCCATTTATATTGGAAATTATGCAATGAAAACTGCACATAGCAAAGATACCCGCCTTCATAATAATAAACTAAATGTTGTCGGAAATTTCGCAGTGACAACCGCACATAGTAAAAATACATGTTTACAATCTGATTTTGATTACAATGTTGTCGATTTTGACGCAAGTAGAGCTGCATGTAGCAAAGATGTCTGCCGGAATACTGACGACAAAAGTGTTGATGATAACAACGCAACAACAACAGCAAATAACAAAGGTGCAAACCTGCAAAATGATGGCGTAATTGTTGACTGCAATAACGCAGTGGACTCCGCACGTAACAAAGATTCCTCCCTGCAGTATAATGATAATGGATGTTATCAGAATGGAACGAAGCCGATAAATAGCAACATTGCTGGTACAACAACATTCATGACAAGCAACCTTGTTAATGTACAAAACGAAGTCTTTCCTACACATAATGACAGTATAACCTTTAATACCAGACGAGCTGTTAAAACAAGATTAGAAGAAAGGAATACATCTGGACAAGCTAGAAATAATCAAGATAACGACGTTGCGAAGGCAAAGGACTGTAAACGGCGTCGTTAATGTTTTCAAAATAAATTTGCAGTACAATACATTTTTTAAGACTGTAAAAAGACATTTTTAAAGATTTTAAAGAACATAAATTAGATTTTGAAAAATTAGATTTCTTTTTGTTTAAACATTCATATCTAAAAATAAATGTGTTGCTAATAAAATGGCTCTGTTGTTATCATTTGATTGTTTGTAAACCTTCCATTGTTCCTGAAATGTCAAATGTAAACAAAGATTGCCCTTTTTAAAACCACAATTCGAACTTCTTTCAAGCTTTAGGTCATCAACTAAAAATTTATTTTTATTTCCTTTGTTTTGATACATGAGTAATTGATCAAGCCCACGTTTGACATAACTATCTCGATTGTGAGAACTAAATGAGCCGCGTCACGACAAAACCAACATAATGGGTTTGTGACCAGCATGGATCCAGACCAGCCTGCGCATCCGCGCAGTCTGATCAGGATCCATGCTGTTCGCTATCAGTTTCTCTACTTGTAAAAGAGTTGGTAAGCGAACAGCATGGATCCTGATCAGACTGCGCGGATGCGCAGGCTGGTCTGGATCCATGCTGGTCGCAAATCATTATGTTGGTTTTGTCGTGACGTGACTCAAATAAAGGCCACTATTATATACTTATGTGACACGCGGAGATGGCGCAGTAAAATGATATGTAGGTCAGTGTTCTATTTTCACAACAAACGTGACATGTGAAAGATGAACAACAGCAGCACGCCTCCATATTTAAGCTATTTTCTGAAAATTTAGAGTGTGTTCTAAGTAGTTAATAAAGTGTCAGATGTACGAATGAAGTAACTTATTAGATAGACTAAGACACTAATTTTAAAGAGACTTTGCCAACTGTCTATATTGTGTCAAAATGGTTAAAGGATCCGAAAGCTTGAAAAAAAAGAAGATTATATTAATTTCTTTAACAGATCAACTGGGGCACTTAAAAAATCATATGCAAAGATCGATGAAGAAATATACGAAGACTAAAAGAGATTTTGCCAACTGTCTATATTGTGTCAAAATGGTCTAAAGATCCAAAAGCTTGAAAAAAAAGATAACATGAATTTCTTTAACAGATCAACTGGGACACTTAAAAACATACGGAAGCGTCCTGGTGCCAATTTAACATGTTCTATAAAAAAGATAACTCCTACGTAGGACTTTATAACTCTTACGTAGGAGATAAAAAAGCCTAATTAGGAGTTTATAACTCCCACGTAAGACTTTGTAAGTCCTACATAGGACTTTATTAGTCCTACGTATGACTTTATAACTCCTACGTAGGAGATATAAAATCCTAATTAGGAGTTTTAAAGTCCTACGTAGGACCTACAAACTCCTACGTAGGACTTTATAACTCCTATGTAGGAGTTAAAAAGGCCTAATTAGGAGTTAATAACTCATATGTAGGACTTTATAAGTCCTACGTAGGACTTTATAACTCCTACGTAGGACTTTATAAGTCCTATGTAGGACTTAACTCTTACGTAGGAGATAAAAAACATAATTAGGAGTTTTAAAGTCCTACGTAGGACTTTATAAGTGTTCTTCTACGTTGGAGTTATAATGTCCTACGTAGGAGTAATAAACTCCTAATTAGGCTTTTTTATCTCCTACGTAGGAGTTATAAAGTCCTACGTAGGACTTATAAAGTCCTAAAGTCCTAGGTTTTGTCGTGACGCGGCTCATTTATAGATGCAGACGTCCATTTCATATATTTGGCAGGTTAAGAGTTAAATTAAACCAAGTTAATATTATTGTACTAACTTTATTTATCCTAAGTTAAAGTTTATTAATACTAAGTTAATGTTTATCTCTTATGATAGTTATGAGTAAACAGTAGTTTATTGATTACCTAGATTATTACTCACCATATTTTCATCATCCCACGCCCATGTCAAAATTTCGGTGGAGGTTTTCTTTTTATTAAATTGGACTACAAGGAGTAATTTGCGAACGGAGACAAATTTCTTAAAATGGAACTTGTTCACAGTAGGAAGCCAAAATTTTGCAACTTTGCACTTAAGTATTTTGTGATAAAGGCTGACAATTGATGGCAGTTTTCTTTACCTAAATATATTCCTAATTCAGAAGAGGATCTTCGTCATCATCATCAACAACAAAAACAACAACATCATTGTCGTCGTCATCATCATTATCATAATAATAATAATCATCATCATCATCATCAACAACAACAACAGCAACAACAAAAACATCATCATCATTATTATTATCATTTCATTTGATAGCCAAAGATGATTTACGCATACTGTTTTCATGATTAAAATTTAATATTAGGTCAACCGAAGAACAATGGTTATCAAACAAATCAAGGTAACAATTCATCATTTTAACGGTCACGGTAGCTAATTAGATATGGTAAAAAACCCAGCTCGATTCATTGTAATTTTATATAAGTAAATATCTTAATACTTGCAATATAGCCTAATTCTCTTTATTTTTCAAATTAGATGAATTTTTATGGGTATTTTTCTTAACAAAGTCTTTGAGTGCTTGTCAAATAATATCACGGTAATTCTAAAATTCACTTAAAAAACCTGGAAATGCTATATCACTTTCGCCGGACCTAGACTCGATTCAACAATATTCGCAAAGCCATATGAGCCGTGTCACGACAAAACCAACATAATGGGTTTGCGACCAGCATGGATCCAGACCAGCCTGCGCATCCGCGCAGGCTGATCAGGATCCATGCTGTTCGCTATCAGTTTCACTACTTGTTATAGGGTTTGTAAGCGAACAGCATCGATCCTGATCAGACTGCGCGGATGCGCAGGCTGGTCTGGATCCATGCTGGTCGCAAACGCATTATGTTGGTTTTGTCATGACGGGGCTCATATAATATCATACTAACAGATGATAGATATTTACGTTATCTAGAATTAATTCGCTGACCAAGCAAATCATTATTACTTTATATAGTTATACAAACAATACCTAACGTTGTTTGTTTCTCGCGGTGATGGATGGAAGTTGACAGGTTATCAATTGAACTCCAGTATACGGCGTGCCATTAATCGACAAAAAATTATATGAAAATTAACCCCCGCGCATATTTATGCAAATACCATGGTGTTAGTTAACTCGTAATGTGGAGGGGTCAGCTATGGTAAAAAAATTTAAATTACTAAATGTTTAAAATACATAACTCGTGCGGGCCCCCGTTAAATGTCGTAAGGGGTAAATGCCACTTCCGCTAGTTTTTAAAAACCGTTTGTCGCAAAACTTTTGCTGTTAAATTCGAATGGTAAAGTTAAATGCGCACGGGTTTTTTTTTCTGAAACAATTTTTCCCCCTCCAGGGTATTATTTTTTCTGTAAGGAACTATCTAGTTGCTTTCAAAAATCAGTGTTCTTTTTAGCTTCTTGTCTGAAATAACGCACGGAGTGGCACCGGAGGTCTTCCTCCGCCAGTAAAGCTAGAAAGTATGACCTCACTGTGTTGGTGCTACATAAAACTTAACAAGTGTCAAATAAGAAAAATGTTTTTAAATGTTTCCAGCCATTGGTGAATATTCTCTTTTACCATGAGGAGTTGTATTGCTGGACAATACCCGTGGCGGCTCCCCCATTTACGTTATCGTCTCGTTTCCTTGACCCCCCCTCCTTTTTTTTAAAAAAACAAACTGTTTTTGTTTGTGGGTAAAACTGTAAAATTTGACACATCTTACGGTATAGTTTCAAATATTTAAAAACTGGTAAGATGTCTGTTAAGTATATAAATCTAGAAACAAAGTGATCCTTCGGAAGCAGTAATCACAACAAAATTACATGAAAATTGCAGACTCGGTTTGGTTGAGTCTGTGCATGAGGGATAATGAATGAGTGCAACATCCCTCACGCCCCCTAGCACCAGCTTGAGCGGTACTCAATTCTCAACACTTAATAGTGCTGGCATCCGTAATAAGTCAGAAGAAGAAAAAGCAATTAACTTTACGATGGTAAACATTTAAAGATATCAAGACATTTTTATTTCTACAGGTAAAATTTTGCAAAAAGTGCAACAGTAGGCACAGACATCGTATTCTTTGGGTTAGACAGCGCTTGGTTTCTTATTATATTCAAAATATTACCAATCCGTGTTAAATTCTGTTAAAGTCGATATTTGGGGCGTAGATGGTAGCTTGCATTTTTCAGTACCGACCATGAACAGATTCAATCAAACCAAACTTGTAACACTTTCAATTTAACCTTTTTAACGTTCTTAAATGATGCTTCTTTTTTTTCTTCCCCCCCCCCCCCCCCCACACACACACATACACAAAGTATATAAGATATAACCGGACACATACGAAAAGATCCGGAAATAAACGAACTCTGTGAATTACCATGCTTGGTACAATCGTTGTCAAATAAAAACAATTACGCAAGTTTTGGATTTCCTTTTATTCAAATTACTTTTTTTCTTCATGTTTTATTAACAGTTATAAACTAGGATCAGTTATTGTCAAGTAGACTTATAAATAACAACAAAAGTACTGTCAAAGAACTACTTCATGAAGTAACATAAAGATTCAGCGGGGGCCTTCATATTTTATTTATCACAGAATTAGTTTGGAGCACTTTTAATGTAGCACTAAAACAGATTTAATATATGCCCTTACAGATCTTACGTTTTTTCTTATTTATTTTCTTCTGTACCAAATTAATTGATCGACAACCTTAAATTGACATACTCTGCCCAAAAAAACCCTGTCTGTTTCGAGATAGGTGTTGTAGTCTTTGTGTGCAGGTGACCGTTATCCAGAGGATATAATGTTTTGCACACAGAGTATTCATTGCTAATATATGAATAGCAAATAAAATACTGTAGAGTGGGATTTTACTACGGGTTTAACTGGTGTTTCTTCTCCTTTGTTGAACAAAATACACTTTTGCAAGAGAAAAAATAGCAAGGAAACGGAAACAAATCTAAATTCGATAGCTATTTATGAACTAATAATAGTCCGTCTAAACTGATTTTGTCAACATTTGTTTATGCAAGGGACAACACAAACAAGATGAAATATCATTAAAGCAAAGTTGCTGCAATGCAATGATAATTTGATCTTTAAATGTCAATTAGTGCAGCAAAACAACATCATTACCATTAAGTATTAAGATTAGAAATTTATATTCCGCCGTTCTAATTCTCGCAAATCGCCCTTATAGTAGTTATTAGTTTGCAGGAATAGAGATACGCCCTTAGGCTTTAAAGTTCTAAGTAATGAGATATATACTGACGTCACACTCATCGTCTTAGAAAGGTTTAAGTTAAATTAGGTCTTGATATGTAATACAGGTATTCAAAATCAATATTACACAAGTATAAACCAGAAATGACTTTTTAAGATTACATCAGGATGCAGATGTTGTAAAGGTCCAGAATAACTCCAATGGTAACATTGTAACTGTGTGACACGTAAGACGGTATGAAGTTCGAGCATAAGGGCTGGTCAAATTGTTTATGATTTAGCATAGGCTCAGGAGTTCTTGCCGGTCGCATCTTGTAGCACAGCACTCACAATATAAATGTCGCTGAATCTCAGGTTGGGATAATCGACGAACATGTCCACCTGAAAATATATGTTTTCCTTCAGACCTATATTGAGATACTGATATGAGCCGCGTCATGACAAAACCAACATAGTGCGTTTGCGACCAGCATGGATCCAGACCAGCCTGCGCATCCGCGCAGTCTGATCAGGATCCATGCTGTTCGCTATCAGTTTCTCTACTTACTATAGGGTTTGTAAGCGAACAGCATGGATCCTGATCAGACTGCGCGGATGAGCAGGCTGGTCTGGATCCATGCTGGTCTTAAACCCATTATGTTGGTTTTGTCGTGACGCGGCTCATATATTTTAAGTAATATTAAAGCAACATAGCAGCATGTCTCCATAGTTATGCTTATTTTCTTAAAAGTTTAAAAATTTATTTAAAAAAAAAAATTATGAAGTAACAACAACAAGAACGACGACGACGACAACAACAATAACAACATCAATAACAAAAAAGAAAAGAAAAAGGGAAGGGTAATTCACAAATTGTAAACGGCGCTTACAGTCCACGTAAATTACCAAAATAAGTTCAAAATATGCAAAAAATAGCCCTAACTACGTTAGTAACGCACTAGAAATATGATGATACATGTAAATACTGCAAAATCAGACATCTTGAATTATTTTACTTCTCTTAAAATCTTATTACATTCTCAAGTTTAATTTTCTTGAATTATTTTATCTTATCTGGATGCATGCAGCTTTGTTAGGCCACATGTGTCACAAATCACATTCGTCACAAGTTTTTATGAATTTGTGACGAATGTGATCACATTCGTCACAAATGACTTTTGTGACGAATGTGATTGACCAAAATCGGGTAAAAATGCCAATCACAAACGTCACAAGCAAAATTGAGAATTTTTAAACAGGCGAATCACAAATGTCACAAGTTTATTTTTCAATATGTGATACACGGAATATCATAAGGACAATCGTGGTTATATCAGTGCGATAGTACAAGGGCGACAATGCAATAAATCGATATTGTGATGTCGACATCACGATACCAATATCTTTTCAACACCATTGCATTATCGCCATCGTACTAACTTGTTGCAATATCGTATCGTCGGCATTGTATTGTCTTCATAGAACTGTCGCATTGTCGTAATGGTATTGCTATCAAGTCGTCTTACGTTCTCGAAACCTTCAAAAAATTTTGGTGACAATGCACGGCATAGTATCAGACTTCAACTGGAAGTGATCTTTTACCTCTGTGAACCCTCAAATTTCTTCCCACCATACAGCGACAGTCTAAAGGAATCTCACAGACTTAATCTTAGTTTCAGTACAAATTATGACCATATTTACACCAATGAGACCATATATGATTGTTTGGGAAGTAGCTGAGACCCCCGTTGACTTTCAGGATATCTAATTAGAGATTATGACCTTTTGACATCAATGAACCTTTTTTGGTCTGACAGACTTTTGACTTCCGCAGACTTTCAGGAATCTTGGTTCAATTAAAGAGTATGACATTTTGACATCTAGGAACATTCTTTCCTGAGACGATTTTGCAAGTCTGTGCCAATTGCTTGCAGACGCTCTATGGAACTTTCCATATCTATTCCACTAGTAATAATAATATAGTTAATTCGTTTAAACAGATCGTGTCTTTGTGGCGGGGCCGCTTTATCGTTTCGACGCGTCTTAGCTTTTTTCGCCTTTTATGATTAGATAGTTTCAAACGACGGTGTTTAGTGAATTTTATAGAGGATATTTGTTTGTTTTGAGTGAATATGAAATATATTTCACTGAGAAGTGAGAAAAAAAATGAAATATGTATCACGAGCGCGTAGCGCGAGTGAAAATATGAACATTTTCTCACTTCGATGTGAGATATAGTTCATATTCACGAAAAGCAAACACATTTTCTTTTTATTTTATGTGCCTTTTGAAAAGTGCTTTTAGACCGTTTACTACTGAAGCGCGGAGACTACGCGCGCGTAAACAATATGACGGCAAACGTTAACGCTGCAAGCAAAATAATCCTTATTTATTTATATTTCTTTTTGCGGTCTCATTGTCAACAATCTTACAAAATTACGGACATTTGAATCGAGAAATATGTCATTTAGAATGAAATTAAACAGTTATTTTTAATGCATGTTTAGGGAATCCAGACTTATAAATACGTACGCAGAGTGGGCGTGGCTTATATCACCCAAATCTATATCACCACACTGTGACTGATATAATATGAATATATTTCATTGATAGAACAGTATTTCATTAGTTAGCATCAAATAAATATAGGATATTACATGAGTGTCTTTTCATATTGAATTTATTAAACGAGTTTGATAAAATAATAAATTGCGAGGCTCTGCCGAGCATTTTATTATTTTATTCAACGAGTTTAATAAATTCAATGTTAAAAGACACGAATGTAATATTCTTTTTATCACAGGTAAACTTTTGCCGCCGAAAAAGCGAAAACTTGTCGTTATTTTCCCTTATAAGCGCGGTAAAATTAAGCAACGTCCGCTAACGTAGATAGATATTTTATTTCCTTCAGTATACATGAAGAGCACGTCAAAACGATATTACACTAGTGTAATATGGAAAATATGTAATGGCTTTATTCCACTCCCGCGACTTCAAACGTGATAAATAATTATTTTGTAGTTAAATGCTGAAAAGTGTTGTGTAATACAGAATGTTGTTGCGCGACTGTATAGTACAGAACGTTATTAAACATATCAAGTAGGATAGCATGTAAGTTGTAATGTAATGTAATATTATCGTGTAGCAATTCAAAATATTGAAAAGGACGCATAATCAAACATTACGAATTGTGTTATATGTCCACACGGTTTCAATAAAACACTTTGTTGCTGATTTACGCCGTGTCTTTTTTGTTTCGTTTCTTCGCCGCGAAGATTAGAAAAAAAAGAAAAACCGAAGACACGACAAATCCACAGTTTGTCGTAACAATGTTTTCAAACGATTTTTTTAATTCTATAATGAAAACCAAAACATAAATGAGCACATGCAATAAAAAGGTTATAGAACAGGTCTGGTGTGCCTTAATGCGATATGGGTCTACAAGATCGGTATTAGCCCTCGGGCTCTTTTAGTGGGCCAAAATCGAATAAAGGCACATCAGACCTCTGTAATAACCTATAAATATATCCCGCCTCTAAACCAATGAAAATTCGTGAACTTTATTAGCAGTATTATAATTGCGGCTAGTATTGTGCAATGTGAGTTTGCTTTTAGTCTTCTTGGAATCCATGTTGTTATTCATTACTTTATATTCTAGCATAAAACTGCCGTTATAACCATGATTTCGGGGTGTTTTAACAGGACCAAAAAGGTCTTTTAACAAGGAGATTCTAGCGCTCATGCGCTGTTAAAACACCTTTTTGATATACGTTTTCCGTGGCACAGCGTCAATACATTGTGGCCCGGACGCTGCTTAACTAAAACGGAAATGACGTCACGGTCACATACAACGCTGACGTTCCCGTGCAATCCGAGGAAAATCAGTGATGTTGCTTGATTGTGTATGGATTGTGTTAGATTTATGCATGCTTTATGCTAGAATAGCGTTAACGAATGATTTGTTCCGTGTCATAACAACTGCTGAAACCCTCGGGATACGTTGGGTCGGGTACCAACTAATCCCTTGGGTTTCTACAGATATTTTAACACGAAAAAAGAAACATGCGTTATTCCTATATTATATCAGAGTTCTTTAGTACTGACGGCTCATCTAGGGTTCAATATGGCGCGGTTCATATAGTTATTTTACCAGTAATATCTATAAAGGAAAGGGTTAAATGAGAATCATGAAGGAAGTTGAATAAATAAACTTAAAGAAAACTTAACATTTCTTGTAGAATATGATTGGTCTTGCGAAGCTATAATTACACGAGGTCATTCAAATATCTTGCAAGCAAATTCGCTGAATTAATGTTTACCGCCGACAGCATCATATACTGATTGAAAATTAAACAATTGCAGGATACATTTCGAATAAAGACTCCGGGGAAATAGTCGGTTAAAGCATAAATTATCAGGGCCCATATCACTCAAGGTCACGGCGATAATGCACATGCCCTTTTTGTATTGAAGGTTCCCACACAATTAAAATTAGATATATTTAACATTTGAAGACATGAAATACTTAAGTTATCTGACTGAATATTAAGCAACCAGGGGTCTTAACTTCGGGTAAGTGCCGTCAATATACACATCTCCGCTTGGTATTAGATGTACCCACATAGTTTTGTTTAAATTATTCAGCAGATTTGTTGAAGAATAGGGTTGAATTAATGCTTTTCTATGAACAATAAATGATAATAAATTATGGATCATAACTCTGTATTAAACGGCCAAACGGGAAATACTGATGATGATGATGATGATGATGATATGCACATCTTGTTTGTTTGTTTATGTGTTTATCTAAAGTCGCCGCCGGAAAGCCCATATAAGCGACCGTACCCTCAAGTCGGACCAAATCCTTTAGTGTCCCGTCGAGATTTTTCGAGATGCGCATCTCCTCTTTATATTAAACTAAATTTCGTTGAAATTCCTAGAGCGCAGAAAAGCAATAGTTCTATATACAGTGTTTTATAAATAACAACAACAACAAGGGGCAATAAGTCTGTTTTTAAAAAGAAATGGAGATATGCTGGTTATATGTGCAACTGGTTTGTGAATGAAGGTTCCTACAAAGTTGCAGCATCGATATCCATCCAGAAGTTGCTGAAAAATAGCGTGGAAACGAAATGATTCCATATACAGTGTATAATAACTAATCAATGGCCGGATAGTGCGGAAACTAAATCTGGACTGACAGGCGGACGAACACGCTAAAACAGTCCCATCACTCCCGATTTCATCAGCGGGGGAGGGGATAAAAATGTCTGTAGTTTTAGTTCCAATAATTGATTTCAGTCCTAAAAATTTGTGACGTTTGTGACTCAGTGAAAAGCATTGAAGAAAACAATATTTATCTCAAATTTGTGACATTTGTGATTTTAAACTCGTGACGAATGTGATTGTCTAAAACATTGGATCACATGCATCACAAAATTTGTGACGAATGTGATCTCATTCTTCACAATTGTGACGAATGTGATTTGTGACACATGTGGCCTTACACAGCTTTTAAGACATTCTACAATAGTAAGTTACGATGCAGCTAGTATACCCGCATAAAATTTCAAATATTTGCATTGCATTTGCCTTTATTTTTAAACTACAATTTGCAAGTATTTTTCTCAAGGTTGAGTATTTCATTTCGCAGCTTTAATACTATCCAGAAGAAGAAAAAAGGAAAAGAAAAAACAATCATAAATTACCGCTAAAATATATAAAAAAAATCTTGAAAATCTTAGAAGCATTAAGAACAACAGAATTACATGTTAGCAAGGAAGTTTGCTGTACTTTAATTTCATTATAAATATTATTGACGGATTATATGGCCGTATTTAAATGGTTATATACAATATAACGGTTATTTGCGGTTTGTGTTATATATGCAATCAACCATTTATTTAGGGCAATACAACTCTTTATAACTTAAAATATAAATGATGTTTACTTTCAAAATTTCCGGTAAGTCTCAAGTTAGTTCTCAAAAACAGCTCGAGGCTTGAAAAGATTCTTATCTCGTTTGTTTAAATTTCCGGGATTAATCACACAAATGTCAGAAATAAGACTGTCATCAAATGACTGACAACAAAAATAACAACAAACCCTTGACTCCGCACTACATGCGGTTAAAGATGTTATCATGATAGAAACTAAATCACCAATATGACAGGATAAGCGCGCGCTATTTTTGCTCTCGGTTGATTCACGAGCCTTCATTTTTGGGCAGTTTATTTTATGAGTTTCTGTTTCGGTTTATGAAAGTTTTATTTGCATATATCCAGAATACAGAATGATAAATATTTAAGGCTGAAAATTAACGTTAAATATGCATACACACAGGATGAAAAGTTTAAAACGCATACAAATTAAGCAAATGCACATTAATACACGCAAAGGACCTTTTAATTGTATCTAAGTCTTTTAGTTTTGTAATATTGCATGAATTTTCTTGAACGTTCATATTAATAATAAATATCATATGAGATTTTTAACCTTTTTAATATTTCAAATGACCAAATGGTATCAAACCTATCGTTGTTTGATACGGAAACCTTTGGTCTTTAAGCTAAATGTGAATTAGTTTTGACGTAACCGAAAATAAAGTAAGTCAATGTTAAAAGTAATGAACTTCATTGCTGAATGTATGCATATTAAAGTAGTTTTTAGACTTACTCCTAGGACATAAACATTTAAATGCAGGTCGGACATTCTTGTGTAGAACATATAGCAATGTTGATGCTATTTCATTGATTAGTATTATTACTATTATAAAGTAGTTATATTTACTATTATAAAGTAGTTATATTTACTATTATAAAGTAGTTATATGTGTACGTAATTTTGGCAAACTATCCCTCTCCGCCCCCTCAAATATACGCAATGCTTGTTGAAAAATATTTTATTTATGTTGCTTTTTTTCTCCATATTCTTAAATGCTATACGTTTCTATTTGAAAGTCACCATTCTCATAATCTTTTAACCCGAAAAAAAAAAAATATTTATAGAAATTAAAGATCCTTTAACTCAATATTTTTATGATTATATAACATAAATCCAATACTCAAAAGATTTATCAATATTATGCGTTCAAAAAAGCATGTTTGAAAAGATATTACTGAATTTACATTTCATGTAAATAAATGGAGAAAATTAGAAAACCAATTTTTTCAATAAGAAATCAGTCCATAGATTTTAATGATTACTTTTAATGCGCATGATCATTTGCATCACATATTTAACATTCTTGGATGTTTGGAAATTGTTTAAGAAGAATGATTATATACATATATACTTTTTTACATGTTGTTACATCCTTAATTACAACATACAGGATCTTCAATAACTTAAAATAAAAATTTAAATGGACTTAATTTTTATTTTTGCAACGTGTGTCCAGTTATAATATAAATATATGATTTTTGATATATTCATATATTCGGATAAAAATAGTAAATGACTGTACATATAATTTCTAATTGTGTTATAGGAAATGATATATGTTTTGAAACAAAAGGATCTGTTCGTAATAGTGCATTTTGTAACTATATCCCTTTTAATATTACTTATAAAAAAATAAAATTGAGCCATGGCACCTACCTTGATTTCGAATGGAGCACAAAAATCGGACAATTCCATGTATATTCCTCATGCAAGATGCAAATCTTCTGTTTCTAACATGTGTATGTCTTATATGAGGGCAGTCTACCAATATGCACTTAGCTACCTCACTTATACATAAAAGTACCACAACAATTAAAACATATTTTTGCGAAATCATTTTTTTGTTTCAAATAAAAAGTCAACACTGTTCATTAGTAACTATAGAAATAAAGCTGTCAGCGCGCATCACACGTACTATTTTATTTAGTTCTCCTTAAATAATGCATTATTCATGAGCTGATTACGCATGCGCAGAGCCGCTTTCACGAAACAAAATAACAAGATTGTTATGATGTACTCAGTGCAATATTTATCAACCAAAACAATGATTGAAGCATGCCTTTAAGCGAGAAGTTCGCTTTGAAGTAACCGCCGATAACAACTGACGTGATAAGATATCATACATTTTTACGTTAACTACATTTCATCATCTTTTTGTGTACATCAGCGTCTTATAATAATAGCAGACGAACAAAACGCCTCTATAACAGAAATTGGGTTAATTTCATCAAAAGTTTCGTTTCGTTAATCCAAACTTTATTGCTTTTTTATCCTGCTTCATAGAAGAATACAAAAATAAAAATCTTGTTTTGATACCAGTCTGCACTTCAGTGAAAACATTCACCATACATCACATGCTGTACAATCTATGTTTATGTTATGGTGAATAAATAGAAATCTTAAGATATTTGTGAAATATTTTGTTGTTTTGTTGCGGTTTACCTACTTACAAAGATGTTCAGTATTCGTTTGAACATAAATCAAATCTATAGTAGATAGTTTCCTAATGATAATGTTTCCGTGTGGTAATAAGAACAACAAATACAAACATTTTTTACAATATGAATATTACAGAAATTGTTTTTCATCAATACAGATAAAAGGAAATTCCTTTATATTAACTTTTTATACAGTCAATTAGTACGGTGGCACAAAGGTGACATGTGTGTTTTTATTTATCTCGTGCGCACGAGATACTATGTCGTGGCTGCGAGTTACTAAGTCATGGCCACGAGATAGCTAAGTCGTGGCCACGAGATACTATGTCGTATAGTGTATTTTTATTGGTTAATTATCTCGTGCACACGACTTAGCTATCTCGTTCCCTCGACTTAGTAACTCGTGGCCACGACATAGTATCTCGTGGCCACGTCATAGTATCTCGTGGCCACGACTTCGCTATCTCGTGGCCACGACTTAGGAACTCGTGGCCATGACTTAGCTATCTCGTGTCCACAACTTAGAAACTCGTGGCCACGACGTAGTATCTCGTGCGCACGATCATGCACGAGATAAATAAAAACGCAAAAAATCATATAAATAATGTAATCTGATTGGTTTTTTATCTCGTGCGCACGACTTAACTATCTCGTGGCCACGACTTAGTAACTCGTGGCCACGACTTAATAACTCGTGGCCACGACATATTATCTCGTGGTCACGACTTAGCTATATTGTTGCCACGACTCAGTAACTCGTGGCCACGACATAGTATCTCGTGGCCACGACTTAGCTATCTCGTGGCCACGACTAAGTAACTCGTGGCCACGACGTAGTATCTCGTGCGCACGAGATAAATAAAAACGCACACATGTCACCTTTGTGCCACCGTGAATTAGAGTGTTCTACTTGAATGTTTAACATGTTAATAATTTTTTATGCATTTATGTTTGCTCGCAATAATGTCCGTCGCTGCAGCCGATGATCTTAAAAGATATATAAAAAAAGTTGAAAGTAGAAAATGAGGAAATTAATTAGAAAGAAAATTATGATGATGATGATGATGTTGTTGTTGTTGTTTTGATTGTTGTTAGTATGTCGATTAATAGTGACCAAAGTATTATTAATGATACTATGATGAGCAGAGGAAGTAACTGCTGCGGATTCCTGTCCACCGTAAACTACGAAAGACCGGTGGGGACATTTCAACTTCATACATTCCCGATTTCATCTTCATGAATTCACGACTTCAACTTTACGAATTCCACTTCGTTGAATTCACGATTTTAACTTAACAATTTTAGCTTCGTGAACTTCACGATTTCAACTTTATGAATTTAAGATTTTATCTTTACGAAGTTGAAATCGTGACTTCGTGAAATTGAAATCTTGAATTCATGAAGTTGAAATATTGACGTCATGAAGTTGAAATCCGGAGTTCTGTATGTTGATATCTTGAATTCATGAAGTTGCAATTGTGAATTCATAAAGATGAACCCGAGAATTCAAGAAGTTTAAATATCACCACCGTCTTCGTAGCATACAGCTTACGACATATACGCAAGCTGCGTACATGGACTGTACATAACGCCGTTTACAGCTTACACCGACTACAGCTTACCGTTAACTGCATATCGCCTTAAATAGCTAGCTCATTTTGCAAGAGATCGTCATCACTTTTTCTTCCAGGCTATTACCAAGATTTTGATTAAAACTAAGGCTACAACTTTGCCATTTCATTTTACGTAACTAACAACACTTCGACCGTTACTTCGACTACGACGACAATTTTACGACTATGAAAACGTCTGCCACAACAGATTTTACGACTTCGCCGTCGACAAAAATCACTATGACTTGCACGACTACAATAAGGCTAACCCACGTAGACAACGACGATTTCGACCACGAACATGACTTCATCAACTAATGGCTACAAGAACAGCAACGACGACTAAAGAAACTACGACTACGAGCATAGCTAAGACATCGGCATCAACCAGGAACACGAGTACAATGACTACACAGGTAACAGTGGCAACGACAATGACCACTACTACGAATTTATAATGACGTCGACATGACGTCGACATCTACAGAACCGACTTCAACTGCTACTGCGAAGACTACGATTAAAAACGACTACAAGCCGTTATCTACGACGACTACCCCGATCCTGACGACTTCAAAGACTTCGTCGACATTCACGGTAACGACAACGATCACGACCACGACTTTTAGGACTACACAACAACTACGGTTACGACTTCGGTCACGATTTTCTCGAAATTTACGACTACATGTCATTATCTACTTAAAAGACCACGTGTGTTCTAATCTACCACTATTACTTTTACAACTACAACTTACTGGATGGATACTTGTACTACGACTTATACGACTACAACCACAACTACTCCGATAACAACCATGACCACAGCGTTAAGGCTACGATAACAATTGTACGACGATTACCACTACAAAGACTTCTACGAGTACAAATACGACCACCACTACATATACTCAGGCCATAACTGCGAACTTTATAATTACCAGTAGGACTTCAGGCAAAAACGTTCTTTCATTTCTGTTTGCTTGTTTTTGTTTTTTGTAATGGTCAGTGTGTACTTGGCATTTAATTAACTGATTTGAATATTATAAGGGGTCATTTTCTGTAGTCTGAAAATTAAAGGATAACAATAATAATGGTTCTTATTTTGTTATTTGGCGTGAGCTTTATAATTTCAGACAATATACCGTTTTTCGAAAGTGGACGTATCTCACCGTCCCACCACGTACGTATACAGCTCAAACTAAACGTAAGCTATTTATGAAGTCAGATGTATACCGTCCACCAGGACACAACTGATTTTTAGTAGTTTGCATGAAATGACAAATGAACTTTTTCAAAAAGAAAAAAAAAGAGAAAAAAAATGTTGGTTGTGGTGTACGCGCATATTGGATATTGTTGTTTTGTGGCTAATGCAAGAGAAGACGGTGACATAAGTTGAAATGTATCGCCTTTCAAAGATGTTGATAGTAACAGCAACGAAGACAGTTGATAATGATGTCATTGTTGGTGCTGATGATGACACTGATGATTTTGATGCTGCTGCATATCACATATTTCCGTGTGACAAGAGGGCACTATTCATTGAGACTAAAATTTTACCTCATATTTTTTATTTTAGCACTAGGATTTCAAACGTAATGTTTCTTAAAATACGATCATTGTTTCTATATAAAGACAAACAAAAACGAGTTTTGTTCCGCTAAATTTAAACAATATATTTCAACGTGAACAAACAAAATTATTTAGAAAAAAAAGCAAGACTATTCAAAACTGTATAAAACTGAATAAGGTAATGAGAGACAACTCCATATACACCTTGCTATAAATATGCAAGAGTTTTGTCCCTTATTCAGGGTCGAACTTAACATTTGTACTTTTAGTCTTTCTATCTTCGGGGTATTTATATCTCATGAAGAAGTTTTTATCAACAAAAAATATTCAACAAGTCAAAAACCATCATAACAAATACAGCAACAAAACACTAAGCATTTTACATGTAGTTCGCTAACATTCTATCCCAATTAAATTACGTTTGTACTAGAACTTTAGATAAAAATGAATCTAAATCAAGGCTTATCAAATGTGTATTAAGTAAAATATATTACGAAATCGCATGTATAGTTCAGTTGCCAAATAAAATGTGAGTACATGGTATTTCCTGGGTGAATCATTCGTCTATCAGACAAATAAAGTCTTATTAAACTAAACCAACAAGCGTCCAGATAAAAGGATCAGTCGTTGAGCAGAGAATCTTGTTTATTTTGCTGAAAAGAAAATGCTACATGATTGTACGAGGCTTTATTCAGATGTGATAAATTAGACACAGTATTTGATAAAGTGTTGTGTCATTTTGACAAACTTAATACAGGTCAACACTCTAAACAACTAGAAAGGAGTAAGGTTTTAGATGAGCTGTTCGACACACATGTAAAGATATCTTAATGCCATTTTTGCACCGCACCATATTTTGCTTAGCCGAAGTTTAAACTTTTATATTCCCGGCTTAGTCTAGAGTTCCTTCCCCTTACACTACGGTAAATGCAGACAGGGAACCAGACTATTCCATTTCAAGGTCGATCTCCTGTTCGTTAGGCAACTTGTCGGTATACATATGTATCCAAGCTAAGTAATGAGGAATGCTTACATTCCTGGAACTAACCAGTAGGTTCTACTGATGCCATAGCAGAAAGCAAGGTCATACTCGAACCCACGATCCCTGGTTTGAGAGACAGACTGTCTATCACATTTACCACTAGGCCTATGTTCCTTCTGTAAGGGATAAATGTAGAAATCATTTGAGTATGATGATTTGATATATTTATCTGGCCCTTTGGAATCATTGATTCCAGCACTTTAAGGTGTTGGAAATTGAGTACCGCTCAAGTCGGTGCTAGTGGGCGTGAGGGATGTTGCATTTTTTCATTATCCCTCATGTACAGACTCAATCAAACCGAGTCTGCAATTTCCGTGTGATTTTGCTGATTTTAATGCTTCCGAGGGATCACTTTTTCCAGATATTTTCAAAATCTACGGAAGTCTATAAGGGACATTATATGTGTAAACACAAGGCGTGTCGTGTTATAACAGTTCAAAGTTTACTGTCTACATTGTATAGAGAATATTTTTGTATGAATCCGACTTCATATTTGTATATAGTCTGTAGGAAAATAATATTTATTATATAATTATAATGTCTTCTTACACCGGCACTACTCACGTTATCAAATAAAAAAGTGGCAACAATTTATGCATTTATTTAATATACATTTGTAATGGGGTCATTTAATCGGAATGTACTCGTATTTATTAATAATTATGGAATATGTTACTGTTTATTAAGAAAGTAAAGCAAA